TTTTTTCCCCTCAGCTCGGCCCCGCACCCGGGAAAAGAAAAAAAAAAAATTTAAAAAATTAAAAAAAAAAATTAAAATTAAAAAATTAAAAAATTAAAAATTAAAAAATAAAGATTAAAAAATTAAAAATTAAAAAATAAAAAATTAAAAAATTAAAAATTAAAAAATAAAGATTAAAAAAGATTACAAAATAAAAATTAAAAAATAAAAATGACAAAGAAAGAATTAAAAAATAAAAATCCCAAAGAAAAAAATTAATAAATAAATATTAAAAAATAAAAATTTAAAAAATGAAAATTAAAAAATAAAAATTAAAAAACTAAAATTAAAAAAAAAAATTTAAAAAAAAAATTAAAAAAAATTCAAAAAATTTATCCCAAATTCCAATTCCACCGAAATTCGCCCCAAAAATCGATCGGCGATCGATTATCGATCAATCGATCGGCAGCCATTGGCAATCGATCGCCGATCTAATCGATCGGCAGCCATTGGCAATCGATCGCCGATGTAATCGATCGACAGCCATTATCAATCGATTATCGAGCGATCGATCGGCAGCCATGAGCAATCGATCGCCGATCTAATCGATCGACAGGCGCGATCAATCGATCGCCGATGTAATCGATCGACAGGCACGAGCAATCGATCGCCGATCTAATCGATCGGCAGGCATGAGCAATCGATCGCCGAGCTAATCGATCGGCAGGCATTGGCAATCGATCGCCGATCTGATCGATCGGCAGGCATCGCCAATCGATCGCCGATCTAATCGATCGGCAGGCACGATCAATCGATCGCCGAGCTAATCGATCGGCAGCCATGAGCAATCGATCGCCGATCTAATCGATCGGCAGGCATGAGCAATCGATCGCCGAGCTAATCGATCGGCAGCCATGAGCAATCGATCGCCGATCTAATCGATCGGCAGCCATGAGCAATCGATTATCGATCGATCGATCGGCAGGCATTGGGAATCGATTATCGATCGATCGATCGGCAGGCATTGGGAATCGATTATCGATCTGATCGATCGGGGAGGGAAGTTTTGGGGGAATTTCGGAGACATTTTCTGGGATTTTGGGGCAATTTTTCACCATTTTCGGGATTCTTTGATCCCATTTTGGGTCATTTTCTCCCATTTTAAGTCAATTTTCCCCATTTTTGGGACTCTTTGATCTCTTTTTGGTTATTTTGATCCCATTTTAGGTCATTTTTTCTCATTTTTGGGTCATTTTCTCCCATTTTTGGGTCTTTTGATCCCATTTTGGGTCATTTTCTCCCCATTTTGAGTCAATTTTTCCCATTTTTGGGACTCTTTGATCCCATTTTGGTTCTTCTGATCCCATTTTGGGACAATTTTCCCCGTTATTGGTTGTTCTGATCCCGTTTTGGGTCATTTTTCCCATTTTTGGGTCAATTTTTCCCATTTTGGGTAATTTTCTCCCCATTTTGGGACAATTTCTCCAATTTTTGGGATTCTCTGATCTCATTTTGGGAGAATTTTGCTCCATTTTGGGTCAATTTTTCCCATTTTCGGTTCTTCTGATCCCATTTTGGGTCAATTTTTCCCATTTTTGGTTGTTTTGATCCCATTTTGGGTCATTTTCTCCCCATTTTGCGTCAATTTTTCCCATTTTTGGGACTCTTTGATCCCATTTTTGGTTATTTTGATCCCATTTTAGGTCATTTTTTCTCATTTTTGAGACATTTTCTCCCATTTTTGGGTCTTTTGATCCCATTTTGGGTCATTTTCTCCCCATTTTGAGTCAATTTTTCCCATTTTTGGGACACTTTGATCCCATTTTGGTTCTTGTGATCCCATTTTGGGTCATTTCCCCCCCATTTTGGAACAATTTTACCCCATTTTGAGTCGATTTCTCCCATTTTTGGTTCTTCTGATCCCATTTTGAGTCATTTTCTCCCATTTTGGGTCAATTTCTCCCATTTTTGGGACTCTCTGATCCCATTTTTGGGGCGATTTCTCCCTTTTTTGGTTCTTTTGATCCCAATTTGGGACAATTTTGTCCCTTTTGGGGTTTCCTGATCCCATTTTGGGTCATTTTCTCCCATTTTTGGGTCATTTTTTCCCATTTTTGGAACTCCTTGATCCCATTTTGGGACATTTTCTCCCCATTTTGGGGCGATTTCTCCCATTTTTGGTTCTCCTGATCCCGTTTTGGGACAATTTTTCCCATTTTTGGGACTTTCTGATCCCATTTTGGGTCATTTTCTCCCCATTTTGGAACAATTTTACCCCATTTTGGGACAATTTCTCTCCATTTTGAGTCATTTTCTCCCATCTTTGGTTCTTTTGATCCCATTTTGAGTCAATTTTCCCCATTTTTGGGACTCTCTGATCCCATTTTTGGGCGATTTCTCCCATTTTCGGTTCTTTTGATCCCATTTTGGGTCATTTTCTCCCCATTTTGGGTCATTTTCTCCCATTTTTGGTTCTTCTGATCCCATTTTGAGTCAATTTTCCCCATTTTTGGGTGTTCTGATCCCATTTTGGGTCATTTCCTCCCATTTTGGGTCAATTCCTGCCCATTTTGGGGCGATTTTGTTCCTTTTTGGGTATTTTGATCCCATTTTGGGACATTTTCTGCTCTTTTTGGGATTCTCTGATCCCATTTTTGGGACTCCTTGATCCCATTTTGGGTCATTTTCTCCCATTTTTGGTTCTTTTGATCTCGTTTTGGGACAATTTTGTCCCTTTTTGGGTGTTTTGATCCCATTTTGGGTCATTTTCTCCCATTTTTGGTTCTTTTGATCCCATTTTTGGGTCATTTTCTCCCATTTCGTGTCATTTTCTCCCATTTTGGGTCATTTTCTCCCATTTTGAGTCAATTTCTCCCATTTTTGGGACTCTCTGATCCCATTTTGGGG